CAGAAAAGACGAGACTGAGCAAAAACTTGAAGTGGACAAGGGAGTTAGCCAAAGGCTTATCTGGAGGAAGAGTGTTGGCAATTAGAAGGAATAATGAGAACAAAGACTGTTTAAGGAAAAGCAGGAAAGCCAGAGTAGCTGCAGCAGTGAGGTAAGGAGCAGAGTGGTAGGAGAGATCAGGCAAGGTGGGGGCAGAACATTCACAATCTAAACAGCCACTGCGAGGACCTCGACTTTTTTTTTAACTGAAGTATAATTAACATACAGTGTTGTATTAGTTTCAGGTATACAATATAATGATTCAACAATTCTATACATTACTCAGTGTTCATTACAAAGTATACTCTTGATTCCCTTAATCTGTTTCACCCATCACCCCACCCACCTCCCCTCTGGCAGCCACCAGTTTGTTCTCTGTATTTAAGAGTCCTGGGGGTTTTGTTGTTGTTGTTGTTTGGTAAGGACCTTGGCTTTTACTCTGAGTGAAAATGGGAGCCACTGTATATCATTGAGGAACATGCCCTGTTTTGCCATTTATTCAGGCCATCTTTTTGTCCATCAGTAGTCTTAAAGTTTTCTTCATATAGGTTTTTGTGCATTTCTTTTTATGCTTAGTCTTAGATATTTTAAGGTTTTGTTTCTAATATGAATGGAAGGGAGGAGGGAAGAGGTAAGGAAAGAATCTCAAGCAGACACCTCAACCTGCTCGAACCCACAACCCTGAGGATCGTGACCTGAGCCAAAACTAAGAGTCTGACACTCAACTGACTGAGCCACCCAGGTGCCCCTGCTCTATTCTCTTAACACCTCCCTCCCCGTACACTGGTGCCTTAAAAAGTTCTTAAAGTACTATAGTCTCAGGGTGTCTTTCCAAGTTTTTTGTCCCAAACCTGCTCCATTGCATCCATTAGGACGGCTACTATTAAAAAAATAATAACTATTGTCAAAGATGTGGAGAAATTAGAACTCTTGTGCACTATTGCTGGGAATGTAAAATGGTGTGGCTGTTATGAAAAACAGTATGGTGAGTCCTCAAAAAATTAAAAATAGAATTACCATACAATCTAGAAATTTCACCTCTAGGGACACACCCAAAAGAATCGAAAGCAGGGACTTGAAGAGATATTTGTACATTCATGTTCATGGCAGCACTATTCATAATAGTCAAGGAACAGAAGCAACCCAAATGTCCAACATATGAATGGACAAAATGTGGTATATATACATACACTGTAATATTCAATCTTAAAAAGGATATTATGACACATGCTACAACACAGATGAACACTGAGAACATTATGTTGAGTGAAATAAGCCAGTCACAGAAAAAACATACTATGAGATTCCACTTACATGAGGCACCTGTAGTAGTCAAATTCATAGAGACAAAAAGAAAAACGGTAATTGCCAAGAACCAGGGGTTGGAGGAATGGGAGTTAATGCTTAAGGGGTACAGAGTTTCAGTTTAATAAGACAAAAAGAGTTCTGAGATGAATGGTGGTAATGGTTGCCCAGCGGTGTGAATGGACTTAATGCCACTGAGCTGTACACTTAAAAATGGTTAAGATGGGGGTGCCTGGGTGGTTCATTCGTTAGGCATCTGCCTTTGGCTCAGGTCATGATCCCAGGGTCCTGGGATCGAGCCCTGCATCGGGCTCCCTGATCCGTGGGAAGCATGCTTCTCCCTCTCCCACTCCCCCTGCTTGTGTTCCCTCTCTTGCTAGGTCTCTCTCTGTCAAAAAATAAATTAAAAATCTTTAAAAAAAATGGTTAAGATGGTAATATTATAGGGGTGCCTGGGTGGCTCAGTTGATTGAGCGTCTGCCTTTGGCTCAGGTCATGATCCTGGGCTCTCTGCTCAGCGGGGAGCCTGCTTCTCACTCTCCCTCTGCCTGCCACTTCCCCTACTTGTACGCTCTCTCTGTCAAATAAATAAAATCTTTTTTTTTAAAGATTTTATTTATTTATTTGAGATAGAGTGAGAGAGAGTGCACGAGAGGGGGTAGGGTCAGAGGGAGAAGCAGACTCCCTGCTGAGCAGGGACCCTGATGCGGGACCCAATCCGGGGACTCCAGGATCATGACCTGAGCCGAAGGCAGTCGCTTAACCAACCGAGCCACCCAGGCGCCCGGCCAATCTCACTTCTAAAGAAAGATCTGAGAAATAAAGCACACAATCGTAGAATACAGACTATCTGTACTCCAGGTATAACTATGAACTTAATGCTGTTTAATATAAATTAAGAAATCACATTTATGCAGGATTGCTTGAATGATATACTGTTTAGCCACTGCCTGGAAAGGGTTTGTTTGCTTGTTTTTGTTTTCTTTTTTTTAAGTTTCTTTTTTTAGTAATCTCTACACCCAACTCACGACCCCAAGATCAAGAGTCATACGCTCTACTGACTGAGCCAGCCAGGCATCTGCTTTTGTTTTCTAAGCCAAGGCTCAAAAGAGGAGCTTCAGAAACTTTGTGAACCTCCTGAAATTGTCTGTAAAAACCTGTATGATTTTATATATATTCTAAAACTTGTTATTCCTTTGATGGAAACAGATCATCAAAGCCTTACCTCAACTGAAATGTTCTGCCCCAAGCCCAGAAGGGGTTTCACTGAACAATGCTTTGACACTATATCAACAACTTACATTGAAGGACATTAAAAAGAAACAGTCTCAGCTCTAAACATCTGTTTAGGGAACTACCATAAAAACAAAGAGAACAAGACAAAGATGGGCACAGGATCTGCCTGGATATCTCAAGATCTCAACCAGATAATATGTCTGTAAGTGCAGAAATATGCTGATGCTATCATGAGACAAGAAGAGATTAGGAACAAGGCCAAGGAGAATGAAATTCCCTATGTAAGAACTGAGTCAAATGTAATGGCAGCAGTAAAGGTTCTTCCTTCATAAGCACAAGCATAGGATTTGGAGAGCTACCAATGCAGATAACAATGGCAATTTTCAGATAAATGTATGTAAGATTTTACATATGCATTGAGTATACCTAAGTTAAAGAAAGGTTCAAACTACAAAAGATGTCATGTGAGATTTTTAACAATTCTCCCTTCCCAATTTCAGGGTAATTCTTTTTTTTTTTTTTTTAAAGATTTTATTTATTTATTTGAGAGAGAGAATGAGAGAAAGTACATGAGAGGGGGGAGGGTCAGAGGGAGAAGCAGACTCCCCGCTGAGCAGGGAGCCCGCTGAGCAGGGAGCCCGATGTGGGACTCGATCCCGGGACTCCAGGATCATGACCCGAGCCGAAGGCAGTCGCTCAACCAACTGAGCCACCCAGGTGCCCCAGGATAATTCTCTTTTATGTAACTTGCACATTCCTTGATTTAGCTAAAATCCATCCACCCATTCTTCAAAGCTCAGCTTTAATATATATATATATAGGGGCGCCTGGGTGGCTCAGTCGGTTAGACGTCTGCCTTCGGCTCAGGTCATGATCCCAGGGTTCTGGGATCGAGCCCCGCATCAGGCTCCCTGCTCAGCGGGGAGTCTGCTTCTCCCTCTCCCTCTGCCTGCCTTTCTGCCTACTTGTGCTCGCTCTCTCTGTGTCAAATAAATAAATAAAATCTTTAAAAAATATATATATATATATATTTTTTAAGGCTCCACACCCAGTGAGGGGCTCGAACTCACGACCCAGTAATTAAGAGTCTCATACTTTACTGACTGAGCCAGCTAGGTACCCTGTCAGCTTCTAAAATTATGACAACAAATGTAGTTCAAATAGAATTGCTTTTGTTTCACTAAACCGAAAACCACCCTCTCTCTTCCTCAAACACACACACTCATAGCTCTTTTACTATTTTAAAAATTTTTCAAAAGCATATCCACAAAGAACTATGACAAAAAGTTTTCCTTTTGTTGGAGGGAACCCTCTCAAATAGTCAACAGTCATTTGGTTGGAATTATGTGGAGAGTTTAGTTCCAGACATTGGTGGCAAGTCTAAGCTTTCTCCAAAATAGCCACAACAGAAACTGACTGATATTAATGAGGCAAACTGTGATACTAAGGATGCAAATTGTATGGTCTGGGATTGGAGAAATGAGTTATTAATTTAGATCTCTATAGAAAGGGAAACAAATTCAACAATACCCTTTTGATCATCTTAAGCTCACATGGAAAAAGGATGTCGAGGGTTCAAATCATGGTTCATCTTACTATAATATCAATAATTACAATTACATCAATGAGCCCAGTGAAAGTTTCTGTTGGACTACTCCTATTTCCCTTTGAACGTACACAGATGAGAAACATTCACTCACCTTTACTTTTTGCTAAAGATACACCATGGTTATCACAGCAGACCTTTGGCTTTCTGTTTAAACACCTTCAAAACTAAATCACTTATCTGTCTGCCTCAAGGCTTTAGGTAGAACATTCCTCTCACTGCCCTCTAAACAAACAGTCAGGGGTGCCTGGGTGGCTCAGTCGTTAAGCGCCCCAGGGTGCTGGGATCGAGCCCTACATTGGGCTCCCTGCTCAGCGGGGAGCCTGCTTCTCCCTCTCCTACTCCTCCTGCTTGTGTTCCCTTTCTAGGCTGTCTTTCTCTCTGTGTCAAATAAATAAATAAAATCTTAAAAAAATTTAATTTAATTTTTAAAAAATTTAAAAATTAAAAAAAACCCACTTAAACATTACTCTCTGTGTGAATTAATGTGAACTAGTATCATCAGTGGCTATAGCCAAAGAATTTCTACAATAGCCTCAAGTTCAATTTTGTAATTTTTTTTCCTCCCACCTTTGCAGCAAAAATAGTCTCAAAGCCAGATCAGAGGGAAGTCAAGTCTGTGTCCTCCCCTAAGAAGTTTCTTAGAGATCCAAAATTGTAAGAAGCTTCTTGGTGGGATTTAGTTCATCCTTTAATGAGTGCTCTGAGAGCATAGCAACCAATTTCCTGGCTTTGTGGGTAGAACATGGTACAGGAGAGTAGTAAGTAAGATGTTGAACTTGAGAACCTCAGCAGATATAAGATGAACACTTACCTGAAATAAAACGTTTTATGTATTTCATTTCAGAGAAACACCACCTAAGGATAAAACAAAAACTGATTATCAGTCCAGACTCTGCTGACATAATACTTACTATTTATCAAAATTTACTGTGTGCTGGAAACTTTACTGTGTGCTTTACAAAGATCATCTTGTTTAATTTTCATGAAAACCTGGGCCTAGAAAAGAGGGTTTTATTCTTTCCTACAGATGAAAAACCTGGGCCTAAGATTAAGTGACTTGCTCAGAGTCATACAGAGAGCAGTTGAGTCACAGTGGTAGAGATCTGAAACCCTACTTGCCTGACTGCTCTTGACCACAGTTCTTATCATCTCTCTTGCAGACTTGGCCACAGATGAAGAGATGACTGTCAGGTGCATTTCTAGGGCAGTAACTAAGAACTGTAGTCAAGGGGCGCCTGGATGGTTCAGTCGTTAGGCGTCTGCCTTCGGCTCGGGTCATGATCCCAAGTCCTGGGATCGAGCCCCGCCTCGGGCTCCCCGCTCCGAGGGGGGCCTGCTTCTCCCCCTCCCACTCTCCCTGCTTGTGTTCCCTCTCTCGCTGTGTCTCTCTCTGTCAAATAAACAAAATCTTTAAAAAAAGAACTGTGGTCAAATACCATGGAATAGAATTTAAAGTCTTAAATGTCCACATGCTCCTCTTTGGTAGATCTGGCACTGAGCTCAGGAGAAAATCCACTATTCCACTATGTCCCCACATTTCAGCATCCCTTATTTCTTTACTTTAGACTGAGATCGTCTTAGAGCAATCATTCCCAAAAGCATGGTCCATGAACCAATTGTTTCAAAAACATGAAAAGTTGTTTGTGGAAAATACAGACAACCTGGCCCCCACTCAGGATGTACTGACTCAGAATCTCTGGGAGGGGTGGCAACAAGAAACCCAGGAGGTCTTTTTGCCTATTAAATTTTAGACTATTCATTGCCTTGCAGCAAAAGAGCAAGCGTAATGCGTAATCAGCAGGAGGTAAATTGAAAGCCAGCCTCCAATAATCAGTCTGACACTGGGTCAGATTGGTATTAAGAAAAAGGACAGAGATCTTGTGAGAAGGCATAGGGTCCTAACATTGTTTTGGAGCTGGAAGAGATCTTGAAAATGGTCTATTCCAATGTTTTTCTAACAGTGTTCTATGAAGCCTTAGGAGTTCTAAAATGGGATATGAGAAAAAAGGATTGGCAGAGCTTAAAGTCCTAAAAAAATGACTGCAGAAGCTTCACTGGTAACCTGGAATTTTGTGTAAGATTGTATCTGAACAATGGTTTTGCTGATTTAAACAAACAAACAAAACAAACCTTGGCTGCAAAGGAGAAGAAAAAATTCTCAAGGCCTAGCATGCATCCCAAACCAATTAAATCAAACTTATGCTAGTTAGTTCCAGGCATCAGCATTTTTCAGTACCAGGTGATTTCAATGTATAACCAAGGGTGGGAACCACCATACCAATTTGCTCTGTGCTTCTCATTTGAGATAAAAGAAAATTAAGGCCCAACAAATTTAAAGGGGATCAGGATTAAAACCAGCATCTCAACTTCTAGCCCACTATACTATCTTGTCTCCACAGTCCAGAATGAACTAATCATTCGTCTAAAATAGAGAGCATATAAATCAAGATTATTATGTAACCTCATATTTACAGAGTTCTCTGGACTTTTAAAGAGTACTTTATATATATTCTCTTTTTAGATTCTTATAAAGATACTGGGAAGTAAGCAGGATAAAACTCTGTCTCAGAATGAGGGAAACAGAGGTCAATTAAGTTAACTCAAAGTGGCTTAGAAGTAGAGCCAGAATTAAAACTCTTTATCTTCTAACTTCTGGATTAAGTAAATCTAATTTGGCAAGTGTTTGTGTGCCTAGTATGTGTTAGTTAAAACATGGTCAAAGATAAGACATCATCCATGCCTTCAATTAGTGTACAATCCTCTTAGAAAAACAGAAATAACTAAAATACAGTGCTGTCTGGCTTATTCCTTGAACTAGCAGAAGCTGAAAACACTCCCTGATTGGCCTTGATAACAAAGTCCAATTCTCTTCAAATTCAGTGTGTGGCTTCTACTTTTTTTCTGACTACGGCAACTAATGTTAGGGAACTCAAGGGACTTGTACATAGCTATTGCATCTCTAGGCAAGGCCACGTAGCTGAAAAATGTCTTGATAGGGGTAGAGAAGAGAGAAGAAGGGTGCAATTTCAGTGAGGTTCATTTCATAATCTCTGAAGCCAAGGCTATGACTCAGAAGACTGGGAGATTCCAAAACAAAGGGCTGGATGGATAAGACAGAGTATTCACATAAATAATTATTTCCTTTTCCATGGCATTTTAATAACTTGACAGTTTGCAATTTATGTTGAAGATAAGTACTACACACCAAAGAAGAAAATAACATGTAGGGAATAGTATTTGTATCAGTAATTCAGAGTGGTGGAGAAGGTCACAAATAGACAAGAATGTTCAACTTTTTTCATGAGGAACTCATCAGACATTGCAAAATGTTGCCATCCATATCTTACCAAATAAAAGTTAATGAAAGAACCAGGAAACCAGGTTTTACTTATGAACTGAAACAAGTTGGCCAGGAATGGTCTATCTCAGTTGTTCTCAAACTTTAACTTACATCAGAATCACCTGAAAGGCTGGGTCCCGTGAGTTTCTGATTCAGCAGGTCTGTGGTAGGACCCAACAAATATTTCTTACAAATTCAGGTGATGCTGATGCTGTTGGTTCAGATCCCATACTTTGAGAACTACTGGTTTATCATAAAGTCCACAATATACTAGATACACACAGGCGTGCACACATGCTTATTGCAAATTATGACAACTTAGTCAATTCTCTATTATTGACTTTGTAAATGATACTCTCCCCACCAATCTAATGGCCAAAAATAAGACTAAATCAGGAAGAAGTTATGGCTAGTCACTTAATTAGACCATCTATTCAAGAGCACAAATGAATGAGTTTATGAAATGAATGTTTGGGTATTTGACAAAGGCAACCTGTGAGGTGTATCTAACAAGTAGGAAATGACATTGCCCTTTAAAAGCCTTTACTTATCTTGAAGCAGACATGAATTTTATTTCTTGTATTTAAGAGAACACCCTTTGGACCTCTCTATACCTTAAATGTTACCCAAGGTCCCATCCTCATTCTTTTCTCACTACTCACTTTCCCTGAGTTTTCTTAACCACTTCCCCCCATCCCCTCACCGGCTTCATTTACTATGAGCATCATTGATTAGTAACTTTGTTCAGGTTAAGAAATTCCTTTGAGAATCTGATTAATGCCTTTCTTCATAAAAATAAACATACATACTGGGGCACCTGGTGGCTCAGTCGGTTAAGCATCTGCCTTCGGCTCAGGTCATGATCTCAAGGTCCTGGGACTTGAGTCCTGCTCAGTGGGGAGGCTGCTTCTCCCTATGCCCCTCCCCCCCAACTTGTGTGCTCTCTCTCTCAAATAAATAAAATCTTAAAAAAAAAAAAAACATATACACCTATATACATTTTACATCCAATTCAAGACTGGGATTTTCACTCAGGTTCATGGGCCGCAGGTTAAGAGCTCCCTATCTATATGCTAATGATTCAAAAATCTATATCCTTCAGTCTGAATTTTTATTTTGAGCTTCAGTATTACATATCCAAATAGCTACTTAACATCTGTTTTTGGATGTCACACAAATGTCAAAATCTACAGGTACTGAGGAATGACTGACTGCTTAATATGGATGGGGTTTCCTTTTGGGGTGATGAAAAAGGTCTGGAATAAGTATTAGTGACAGTTGTACAACATTGTGAATAGACTTAATGCCACTGAATTGTGATTATATTTTTATATGGTTAAAGTAGTAAATTTCACATAATGTGTATTTTACCACAATTAAAAAAATCTACATTTACAAAACTGAAAGAATCTCTATTCCACATCTCTCATACACCCAAAATCTGTGCTTTCCCTTGTATTTCCTGTCTTTGAACATCAGTTACTAGTCTTACCATTCATCTAGTGGCCCAAGCCAGAAACCTAAGAGTCGTCTTTGACAATGCTTTCTTTCACTCTCCCATTTGTAATTAATTATTAAATTCTGTACATTTTCCCTCATTAATAAAGAGTTAACTTGGGGACGCCTGGGTGGCTCAGTTGGTTAAGCGACTGCCTTCGGCTCAAGTCATGATTCTGGAGTCCCTGGATCGAGTCCCGTATCGGGCTCCCTGCTCGGCAGGGAGTCTGCTTCTCCCTCTGACCCTCCCCCCTCTCATGTGCTTGCTCTCTCTCATTCTCTCTCTCTCTCAAATAAATAAATAAAATCTTTAAAAAAAAAAAAAGAGTTAACTTGGAATAGTCATCTACTTCCTCTATCCCCAAAGCTTCTACCTAAGTTCAGGCCACCATCATTAACCTCAGAGTCTCCAGTTTTATACCTTCCCACCCTCCATAGAATCCTCACAATCACCCTGGGACAAAAGCATTACTATCCCCATTTCACAGCTAAGGAGACTAAGCCTTAAAGTAGATTTTGAATTTATGAACTTAGGTAAAACTTTCTTGGTAAGGGTCCAGATCTTGCCTAGATCCCTTTTATGCTGGTTATTCTGTGTGCTGTCCCTCCTCCCACCCAACTCCCTCTACCCTATTCTGGGAAGCTGACCTCTATGAACTACATCACCCAAACCACCTTACCCCTAGGCTTCTGTTTGGATTTTGCCAATGGAAAGCATTAGCTGGAGACCTGAGAGCAGGAAGAGAGAGAGAAGGGTAAGAGCATCTATTTCTTGACTTCATTTCTGCTTATAGCAACTGCTTAGCCCTTATGGCCATAGCTCTTATCAGGCAGTCCTTCTTCCAGATTGTAGCTGTAAGTGGGCTCTGGTAACAACACTCCTTCCTCTTTCCCCTCAGGCCTAGGAGTCCTACTAACTTGCCACTGTTGATGTATTTCAACATTCCTTTCTAATTCCTGCGAATACTGATCATATTTCTGTAAACAACCCTTTGGTTAAACTCTCTTCAGTTAAACCTTTTTGAATGCACCAGCTGTTTTTCTGCAAGGATTCGATAAACTAGGAAAACAAACAAACAAAAATGGCATGTTGTTGCAGTTCCATTCATTAAATTTCTAATATCTATAATAGACTCTCCTTCCTTCCCTCAGATCCAAAGTTTTCCATCCTTCTGGGACTCCCTGGTCTTCCAAGAAGCCTCTCTAAATACTGTTACCTACAGAAAAACACTGTTGTTACCACTACTGTGCTGTATCTAGTGTGACATTAGTACTCTATTGTCCTACAGTTCTATGA